TTGTGCTACCAAACACCAGAATTGGAATTGAAGTCCTCAATTCCAATTCCATAGTTTAAATTTCGTGTACCAAACGGAGCCTTAAAGATATATTTCTGACTTCACTCCATAATCTATATACTAATACGTACCTAGTAGTATAATGTTTATAATTTACGGGGTATATTATAATCTATATACAAAATATTTTTATGTAATCAAATACTCTCTCCCTCCCTGAGTATTTGTCCACTTTTGACTCGATCAAAATTGGTAAACTTTGACTTTAAATTAAATAAAAATGATATTAGATATTAATACAAAAAGAGTTTTATTAGAATTATTATATCAAATATTTTCAAAATATTATTTTATTTAATTAAAATACAATATATATTTTATTTAATTATAGGTCAAAGGTTGAAAATAGTTGACTGAAAAAAGTCAAAACTGGAAAAATACTCGGGGACGGAGGTAGTAGATAATAAATAAAATCATTATTATTTTTTATATATTCAAAATATTTATATATAAGTACAAAATTGTAATAATGTTTTATTTTCCTTCAACAACCAAACCGAAATTATACTCTACCTCTTAGGGTTCGTTTGGGAATAGCATTTTCTATTAGCGTTAGCGTTTTGGATAAAATCTTAATGGTGCCGATTAAATTTGAAGACGCTGACGCTAAACGTTGCCCGTTGATAGCCTTTTCAAAATGCTAACGCTGACATCTAAAACTATTTTCAAGCATGCCCTTAATCAATCTATTGTGTGAAAAGGTCAAAGTACAAACTCTACAATTTTTCCTTTTTCTATCTTTTTTTTTCGTTCAACATCAAAATAGTATTTTGCAGGATATATATAAAGGGCATAAAAAGACTAATTTGAACAGTCGAACCAAAACGTTACCAAAAAGTGGCTGATTTTTGGCCAATGGCATCTTAAAAGTGTTTGGTAAAGAGCGGTTTTGCCCCCCTAAACTTTTTTTCTTCTTCTTTTCACTAAGGTCTTCCCAGAAGCCTTGGTTATCAAAAAAGTGTTTGATAAAAATGACAATAAAAAGATGTTTAGGGAGGAAGTTTACTTCGTAAGAAATACAAACATTCTTATAAAACATAGTAGGTGTACCCTGGACATATGAGACTCGATCGAAAATTTTGATGTTGTCATAACTTACGAAGTATAAATTTGATGATTATTATGACTTAAAAATTAAACTATATTCCAAGTAAATAAGAGTATCAATTTGAAGTCTTGACTTAGAATTATGCTTACATGATACTAAGGTCAATATTCAAAATGTACATAGACTTTTTCACATTTTTCATAGGTTTGCATGTGTACATTTTCTTTTTTGCAAAGAGTTCATTTCTTTTATGTCACAAATGCATTAAGGTCAATAAAATAAGTATAGACCAAGTTGGCTTTTTATAGTTTTAAGAAGAGTTGAAAAAATGTAAATTTATAAATTTACTTTTCATGAAAGTAGGCAAAATATTGTGTAAGGTTAGGCCTTGTAATCGGGTCAATCGGTTCGGTTCTGGTTCAAATCTTTTTTATTCGGGTCTCTTTCGGATATATGTTATAATCGATGTAGATCGGTTTGGTTCGATTCAAATTAGTTCCGGGTTTAATCCGGTTTCAGTTTAGTTTTGGTTCGGTTGGATATCGATTTCGGATAGATCCGGGTTTGGGTTTATACCGGTTCGAGTTTATATCGGTTTGAGTTTATACCAGTTTCGGATAAGATCCCTTGGTATTAGGGTTCTTAATGTTAGCCTTGTGTGTAGCCTCTCCTCCGTATATGTAAAGGGGGTATATATAGAAGTGTCACTAATAATGGGCCAGTATATCTATCAATGTGTATTACGCTGTCTCACTATAAATTGTGTATATACTCTGTATGAAAAAGACAATCACCTTAATTTAAGTGATAAAATATGGAGCAAAAGATTTGTACATGAAAGCCATTGTACCTATAATTAAAATATGCTTTTCTTAGAAAGGCATCAACTAATGAGCTATTATATATGTTTGACTGGATTTGAATTTAATTTGTTTTGAATTTAATCAATATCGGGTCTAATCGGTTTTGGAGGTATAATCAATTTGGATCTTATCGATTTCGAGTTTAACTAGTTTGGATTCAATCATAATCGGATTTGAATCGGGTCTGAATACATTTGTTTTGGTTTCGATTCGATTCAGATCATTCCGGATGTTCGGTTATAATTTGGTTATTCAGTTTTTGGGTTATTTCAGTTTTGGTTTAGGTTCCGGTTATTTGGTTAATATTATCGAGTCCCGGACTAAGAAAAAAGATATTTGAAAAAATCTTTTCGGGATGAAAAGGAATATTTCACTTCTAGTCTTCTACCCGTATTCAATTTAATACTCCGTACTCAATATGATAATTTGAACTTCAGTCTTAATATATTGATTTGAGAGGGAATCAGTTAAAGAAGTTAAGATGAAGAGGACAGTCATTTGTAGGATAAAGAGTAATACCTTAGACAATAATACTAATATTACTTCTGGTAGTATTGGTTATGGTAGTGTTTCATTATTAGTCAGCTTCCTAATCCTATTTGTAGTAGATGTTGTATTTTAGTTAGTCTCTATTCTCTATTCCTAATTGTGTTAGGAGTCTCTTCTATATATACTCTATCATGTACTTCATAATTCAAAGAAAGCAATATTATTATTCCAATATTTCAACATGGTATCGGAGTCACCGCTCTTGGTGACCTAAAACTCTCTGCGCTCGCTTCTGGCGGGCGGCGCCGCCATTAGCCGCCCGCCGGACCGATGTTATTCTTCCTTCAATTTTAAAGATTGGCGACTCCTCAAAAACTTTCTCAACTCATCTCTTTTTTTTCTCTCAAATCACGCATTCCAATCATCAATCTTTCTTCTCTTTCTCTTTTGTTACCCAAAAAATTCCAAAAAAAACACAAAAGCAAAGCCAAGAGGAAAAGTAGTGAAAGAGGAAAGAATACATCTACACCCCTTCAAGAAAGAAATAGGACATTGCTCGGATAAAAGAAAAAAGACAAAGAATGTCAAGGATCTTCAGTTAAACAGGCACCTCCAGTAGCCTTCTCTATTCTTCTTCGACGTCAGCAACTACAAGCGCACGTCAACCTTCTCTCTTCTTATTCGGCGTCAGCAGCTACCAGCCCACGTCAATCTTCTTTTTTCTTCATCGGCGTCAGCAGCTACTAGCGCACGTCAATTTCTCTCTTCTCCAATGACGTTAGCAGCTACCTGCGCACGTCATACTTCTCTCTTCTCCAACGACGTCAGCAGCCACCGGCGCACGTCAGATTTGTCTCTTCTCCAACGACGTGAGCAGCCACCGGTGCACGTCAGACTTCTCTCTTTTTTTCAAAGTTTCCAGTTTCCAGCTATTGTCCAAGCTTTCTTTTGCTTCAGCCAGAGTTCAGCTTGAGAGGGGATGTTAGACAATAATACTAATATTACTTCTGGTAGTATTGGTTATAGTAGTGTTTCATTATTAGTCAGCTTCCTAATCCTATTTGTAGTAGATGTTGTATTTTAGTTAGTCTCCATTCTCTATTCCTAATTGTGTTAGGAGTCTCTTCTATATATACACTATCATGTACTTCATAATTCAAAGAGAGCAATATTATTATTCTAATATTTCAACAGTAACTAATGATGAGCATATTAGTATCATCACTTTATGAAAATAGTACTCCTTCCATATGGATTTAATCTTTTTATTTCTCCTTTTTCTTCATTTGGATTTAATCTTCCCATTTCTCATAGGAAAATGCTAGGGTGCCTCCACATGGATGCTACCATGGGTGCACCCATGTGGTGGCACCCTAGCATGGTCCTTTCTCATATGCATGTATGCTTGGACAAAACTACCCCCCCTTTTTTTCTCTGTCCAGTTTTAATCTTCCCCTTCCTCATGTTGAAACATTTTCTTACTAAGAATATTTTGGACAAATCTACCTCACAGTCAACCTCCCTTAGGAATGGGGAAACTCTGTTAGAAATGGAGAAAAGTCAACAGAAAGTTTAATCTAGACAGAGAGAGTTAAATAGTTAAATGAAAAAAATGATAAATCTAGGCAGAGAGAGTTAAATAGTTTAAATGAAAAAAATGATAAAAGAACATTAATAGATCCGAAATTCCACAAAAAATGTTAAAGGAATATTAACCTTCTCCTATTTTGCATATTTTTACTCCATTCGTCTTAATTTAAATCACTTTTTTCGCTTTAAGATATCTGATCAAAATTATTTCCAATAGAATTTATTAGAAAATTGGAGTGAACTTAGATAAAAAAAACTTAATTAACGTACATATCAAAAAACTACATCAAAACCTCTACGAAATAAAAGTTGATATGACCATGTTGTTTTATCAATCAAATTAGTAATGAAAATAGAAAAATGTAGTGAATAAAATTTGACCTTATTCATAGTAAACAAACAATTTAATCTGGGACAGAGGGAGTATTAAATTCGAAATTAAAAAAATGATGGGTGTTGTTCAATTAATAATGTTTTTTGACAAAGAAAACTCAATTCATCATATCAGCAGAAATAGTGCCAACCATAAAAGAAGTTGGAATGACATGCCATTCCACCAAATGAGACCTTTTAGAAATGAGGGGAAGCATTCTGCATTAAGCTTCAACCTATCCGCACTTGGTTTCATCCACTTCTGGTCTCTCATCTCCGAACCTGTCCACCACGAGGAGCCCCAAACCCTCACCATATTTCCTGTCCTAACAACCCATTCGCATCTTCTTTTATATATATATATATATATATATATATATATATATATATATATATATATATATATATATATATATATATATATCTCGTGTCTCAAAAATACTCCGCCAAATGAATGAAGGATTCCTCCCATGTTGGGCGCGTCCAGGAACGAGCTCCTAGGAAAGTAACGGGCCGGGGCTTGTACACTTTAGGAATTAAGGTTTTTTTAATTAGTCTCCAAGCTTGCTTACCCAGCAAGGCCAGATTAGTTTTTTCTAAAGCCTAAACCCCCGAAAGCTTTAGATTTGGCTAACTCTTCCCATCGCTTCCAGTGGATCCCTCGTTGTTTTCCCCTTCTTTGCCCCAGTAAACCAAAACGAGTTCATAGCGTTTTCAATATCATATCAAGCCAATCTTCCTTGTCCCGAATTTGATCCGGCTTTTCTCCTAAAGCCCACACTGGAGTTCCACGCCCTCTTTCTGAGGTAAATTGATAACCCTCGAAGGGGAAATCCTAAAGCCCACTATCAAGAACAGCCTCTCGAAAACCCCGTAATTGCCCAATCTGGATGTGGATGTCTCCCTCTTTTGTCATCTTGAGAAAGAATGTCATTAAAATCCCTCATAACAACCCACGTTGTACTGTGATTTGCAGCAAGTCCCGCCTCCAACAAGTGTTTTGGCCTGTTCATTTCAATCTCCATGGCTTCGCTAGCTTGGCAAACCACCACCCTATCCCCCTCTTCCATTCTCTGCCTTTTTGGATCCAATAAGAGAAGATTATCTATAGGACTAATCTGCTCATCTTTATTAACAAGACCTGGATCACTAACAATGGAAATGGCAGGTTCTGCAGAATGCTTCCCCTCTTTGCTTGTCCCTGCATGTAGTTACATGATTTACACCTCCTGAACCATATCGAATGACATCCATCCCCAGAGCTTTCCATTTTTCCCTTTCCTCTAGTGACTCTGGTACCACCCACTGATGTCCCTCCACCATACCACCACGCCTTTCACTAGCACGAAGCCAAGCCCCATAAGGTTTGACAGCCTCCAAGCCCTCCTGGTAAACTGAATTACAAAACTTATCACCATGGCCGATCACACCACAACGAAAGCAGAATGTATGTAGGGAGCCTCTCATACCTGAGCTCAATAAAGAACCACTGCCCATCATCTTGTTTCATACACATTTAGAAAATACTCTATAATTTTTTTTTTGAGAGGGAGAGATTGGCTTATGTGGGTAGAACCATAGGATGAGGTAAAAGGCTAATGTTGTCATTTGTTTTAAGGATTTAGGAAAGCGGAGCTCCACTATCAACTCTTGAAGCGCAGATATCAATTCTCAAAAATAATTAATGTACATATTTTTGAATTGCATATTTGACTTCATAATTAAGAGCTTCTTCTCTTCAACTTAGTTCAACTCCTTTCGTTGAACATAGTTCAAGTCATTCAGTTTCACATAATTCAACGAACAATGAATAGTAAAACTCATTTTCTTTCAAATGAGTCTAACATAGTAAAACTCATTCGACCAATGGGAGAGATACGAAGCCTCTGTGGGGCTACTGCTAATTTATCAACTTGTAACTATGTTAAAATCATTTGAAACGAATAGCTCTGCTCCGCTTCTCTCGCGCTTGCTTGCTGAAAGCTTAGAGCCCTTTTCGCCAAGTCCAAAAGATCTGATCCAACATAAACTCTTCAATTTATTCTTATTAGAACTTGTTCATTCAAATCACACCAGATCAACTTTAAATATACCTACATTTAAATCAGATCAGGTCAAACTAGACCAAAATTTATTCAATCAAATCAGAATCAATCAGATCAGTTGAACGTAAATAATCTTTTATTCTAATTACTTATTTTTATTGGAATCACATCAGATTAGACAAGATCACATCAAAAACAACTTTAAATACAACTATAACTAGACCAAATATAACTTATTTCAATTAGTTCAGTATCAGAGGACAAGCCCTAAGTATAAGAGTTGAATAAAAATATGTACGGAGTACTATGAGAGTTGAATGAAAATATTAGTATGAAAATGTGTTAGAGGAATACTCCGCACATACCAATATGACACCAAAATCCCTGTCAAAAAACAGTGATGATAACAATATAGTAACCCATTGCACTCATCCAATTTTCACATGCATACTCATCTTCGCATTCATATATAAATGAATACATATATGCATATATGTACGGAAATTTCTATATATTGTGCTTTATGACATTGTATTTTTCCAGCATTGGATTGGCCCTCGGAAAATCCATTGGTGTTTTCAAAATGAATGAAAAAATAATGAGGTATATAGTAGTAACATACAATGCCACAACACACCTAAAAGAATATCTTCCCAAAATGTGGCATAAGTATATGATGAGATGTGTTTTTTTTTGCTTAGAGCTTAAGGATTGGGAGATCTTCTTGTGGTGAGGGAAGGTCTCATTTGGACAATTTGGTCTCCATCAACTCCCATTGCCTTTGCCGAAAGGCTTGCCTCAAAAAACCGTTTAACGGCGCCTTCCAAGTATTCTTTCACTTGGCTTATCGTCATTTTCCGGTCAATATCCTCGGGGTAACTTGTGAGGAGATGGTCCCCGTTTAGCGCTGCGGCGAGCTGCACCAGCTCATGTTGGAATTCGCTTATTTCGGCATTTACATTTGGCCCTCCGTTTCTGATCTTTTTTGGAGTTGGCAATTTCTCTGCTTTGAAATAAAATGATCAAGGACCAAAGTAATCAATAAAAACACATAAATAAATAAAAATTATCAGAAGTATGTCTGTGTCATCTAAAAACAAAAAACTACCCCTTCCAACCTCCCTAAGAGTAGCTAACCCTAACCCATTCCGGTCAAGGTTAGGATCCGAACTGAGTCCAAAGTTCTAGAAATTTACACGTTTTCATTTCATGTTTAGATCTTGATTCCTATGGAGTATCTGGATTAAATTCTTGACAAAAGCATATAAACTACCTCTATCCAAATTTAGGCCTCGTTCTCTTAAGCTTATTAGGGACAAAGATTATTAAGGAGTAAGTAATTATTAATCTTTATGGGAATCAGCCCCTAGATCACACTAAATCAGAAAAAACTTTAAATATGACTTGAAACAAATAAAACCTTAATAAAGACCAACCAGATCAAACATTAATCGGACGCTCATGTTATTATCCCTAAAATAGAACCTATAGTGCCAACATATAAAACAAAAAAACAATGTGAAATGCTATTTATACAATGCCACATTTTCACAATCCAATAGTTCTATTTGAGGATAAAAATATTTCACTTCATTTTGAGGATAAAAGGCATGTTTACCTCTTATTTAGAGTAATTTCTTTACTTATTCTTTATGCTTATCAGAACTAGATAAGTTCAAAACAGATCATGCGATCAGAAACATTATAAATTACACTACAGTCAGACCAAATTCAACAAGTTCCAATGAAGAGAATGCAAAGTTAAGGGTTCCCTTTCTTGTTTTCTTTTGTACGGAATTAGTTATCCACTTGCATTGTCTATAATATCATAGAGAGAAGGTACCAACATTGTTGACATAAATAAGTGACAAAGTAATCCGAAAGACTTATTTAACATTTTAAACTCATTTTCTTAAAAAAATGAGAGTTTCTAAAATGTGAACCTTTCCGATGGATGAAGTAGAACACACAAAAAAATATGGAACATACTAACATACTTCACAATAAGCATGTAGATGATACTAGCATGCTTCATCATAAGCATGTGGATGCAACAAAAGAACAAGAGCAGATCCTGATAATTTTGGTGGTGACTAATTTACTTATTTTTACTGTAAATTTATTTTGGTATTAAATTTTAAACAAGGGAAAAATAGTCTCTTTATTGTTAAATAAATCCTATTTAGAGAGAAAAAACTCAAAGCTCCTATTTTGGGCATTTAAGACCCAATATACTCTTATTTGTGTCCATCTCCCTCGTGATATGTACTTTGATAAAAAAAACTGATAGTTTTTACCACCTTACAACAACAACAACAACCCAGTTGGATCCCACTACAGTAGGGTCTGGGGAGGGTGTGTGTACGCAGACCTTGCCCCTACTCGGAAGCAGGGAGGCTGTTTCCAAGAGACCCCCGGCTCAACCTGCACAAAAAATGATAGGGTACACAGTATAGCATGGGTAAAACAACCCTCCAAATAACCCTCCATCTCAGCCCGGCCCCAAGGCACCCCTACACTTCTACCAATTGCACCTATAAATTTTGTTGGGGTCATAGTTTTTACCATAAGCCAACAAAATTTGGTTGTTCAATTGGAGGGGGTTCGCGGGTGCATTGGACCGGGTCGGACGGGGGGTTTAAGAAGAGAAAGAAACCATCAATTTTTCAATTGAAGTACTATATGTGCCCGATGTCATAATATGACAGCACAATCCGATGTCAAAAGAGTATTTCCACGATGCAATTAAGATCCACAAAATATTTGTACTACTTCTCACATAGAATTTACTTTTTTTCCTTTTTAAAATAAAATGTTAACCAAACATATGCTTATCATCAGTAGATTTTGGCAGACTTATTTCAAAATACTATATGGGGTTTGCAGCATGTTTGACAAAATGATATGGATTCTCAGTTTTGCCATATACTTTATAAAATTTCCTAAAATTTTCCTCCCCTTCCATTTTCAAGTGAGATTTTATTTCATTGACATTTTATAGCACCTTTAAAATAAATGAAGATGACACAAATTTTATTTATTAATTATGAAGATACCATCCGCTGATTTTAATAAATTTTTTCAAAATATTAAAAAAGTCCCAAATACGGAGTAATGAAAGAGTAATTGCCTAATTGGAAACTTTATTACTCCCTCCGTCCCAATTTAAGTTGCATGTTTACTATTCACAGGATAAAACTTTAATTATGTTCTTGACTTATTTTCGTGACTCATTTGAAAAAATAATATAGTCTTGCCATCTCTTTTTTAGTAGAACTTTAGTCAAAATTGCTTATAAGCAGGTTTTAACTTATAAGTTAACTGATGACATGTTTCTGTGTGCTTATAAGCTGACTTATAAATTGCTTATAAGCCAGAAAAATTAAGTAGATCTTAATTACTTATTTTTAAGTCAGTTTTTTGTTTCTCTGTTTTGACCAGTTTATTTACAAAACCGTCTCTCAACATTTATGAAAATTTCCAAGTGACTTATCTATCATCTAAGTCATTTTACAATTATTAAAGACTATTTGACTTATAAGCAGCTTGTAAGTTAAAAATTGGTTATCAGCAATAAGTCAATAAGTACCAACATAGACAAACACCCAATATGGGTTCCTAATTTAGTTAGGAAACTCATCCATATATTCCGGTGTAACCCACATTACTCAATAAGTCATTTTGGTTGGAATATGGATAGGTTGGGCAATCAAATCAACCATAAATCTAGCTAGCTAGCCTCCCGGTCAGACTTTTCAAGCAATTTGGTTTTCAAATGCCTAATAAAGAAAAAGGAAAGGGGTGACGAACCTGGGCAATCAGTCCTGGGTTCTTTCCTCTTCTGAAGAATGGACTCGAAAGTGCCGGCCCACGCATCCCTCCTCGTCAGAAACGGCGACGGCAGGTTGAATATCTTCTTCACCGTCGCCGGAATAGACGAATGCTCGTACTCCGAGTTCGGAAAAGGCGACCCATTTGGCCCATGAAACACTACACCAATTCACGTGACGCAGAATTTAGACCTTTGACCTATAATTAAATAAAACTTACATAGTACACATTGAACAAATACTACCAATCTTCTTAGTACATCGAAAAAATGAATGAATGTAGACGTAAAATATGTTTACCAGTGGCTTTCTCTATCCAGGGCGAGATGGCAATGGTGGGGACACGAACCCCCAACCGGTCAAAATTGAAGTAGAACGGGTCGGGTCCCACAATTCCGTCGGGGCTGGGAACCCCACTCGCCCGCATAGGGACGTGATCGTAAAACCCACCGTGCTCGTCATATGTGATCAAGAACAGGGTCTGGTTCCACTGCGGGCTGGACCTCAGCGTCTCGTACACCTCCTTCACCAGCATCTGCCCCTGGTACACATCGTGCGACGGGTGGTCGTCGTTCGCAGGCTCCACCGCGGAATCGACGTACCGCTGCTCCACCACCACGTACCCCGGCAGCTTCCCCTTCCTGGCGTCGCTCTTGAAGGATAGCCAGTAAGGGTGGAATTTTCCGGCGTATTTCAACTTCCGAAGGTTCCTGTAGAACAGAGTTGTTGGGATGCTCTGGTAATAGATTCCGAAATCGATTCCGGATTCATCCAGGCTCTCGAAGATGGTCCGCTGGGGGTATCCTTTCACAAGGAGGGAGGGGACGTTTGAGACGGCGCCGTGAGAGGTGCCGGAGTGGACGTAGAGGCGGTTCGGTTGGGTGGAGGCCGGGACGGAGGCGAACCACCGGTCGAACACCGCGAATTCCGAGACGAGAGTCTTGTAAACCGGGACCAAGTCCGGATCGAACCCGTTCATCACGCTCCGGGACATTTTCGGATCCACGGCAGCGGCCTGTTGGGCGAATCCGTTCATGGGCGGCGGATCCGCGGAAGAGTGGTTGGATCCGAAGATCTGCTCGCGGATGGCCTCGAACGAGTGGCTCGGGTCGGGATCCACCAGATGCGACTCCTTGCCGAAGAAAAGGCGGGGGGAATTCGGGTCGGCCGTGGAAATCGGGTTGAACTGAGACCCGTCGACGCCGTCGATCTCCGGATTGACCTTCTGCTTCATCCATCCCAACATGTGGTCGAAGGAGCGGTTCTCCATTACAAGCACAACCACAGTCTTGATCGGACTAGAGGCGGATGGCGACTGCGCCGCCACAATCAATAAGAGCTGAGATAGGAGAATGAGGGAGGAGAGCGGTGGTTTGTTGCAGTTGAGCGCCATTGTTATCGGTTTGTGAATGATCAGTCACCAGTCATCAATGCAGTGTGAGAATTTAAGCAGTCATGGGTTTGTCTCTAATTCAAGTTTTTTTTGGTCATTAAATCTTCTCATTTAATTATTTTGGATCAAGATTTATAAGTTTTGCCTTCAACATACAAAAATAATACTACCTCCGTCCCAAAAAGATTTATACGTTTTGACTAAAGTTGAAATTAAAGGAGAGATAATTTTGTGTTGACTTTCCAAAAATACCCTTGATGTAATGGGTAAAAGTAGGATTTGATATGTAGATTATTAGGAAAAAGGTATGATGTAATAGGTATGATTTTAAAAAGTAATGGGTAAAAGTGGTTTTTTAATAGAAATGGGTAAGAGATTGTGGGACGCAATTTTTTTGAAAGGTGTAAATCTTTTTAAGACGGAGGGAGTATATTATGCTCCGATATAAAGGTAATATCAATAATTTCATTTTAAAACAGTAATTTTGAACTATTAAAATTTAATAAAATATATATATGAATGAATGTCGATATTAATGATGAAAGTGTTATATTGAGTTCGTGAAAGGTCAAATAAAATTAAATCAAGACCAATGGAATATTTTTGCTTATGCTTTTTCATTCATTATTTTCTAAATTTACTCTCCCTTGGTTTTTGCGAACAAGACATATTTGGAACATTATTCATGTCTTTATTTGCCGAGATACACATTCTAAACCTACAAGCCACATGCTATTGCTATTTTTTAAGGTTTTGTTTGGTGACCATGTTTTTTATTAGTGTTGGCATTTTGATTAAAAATTTATCGGTGTAGAACTATTACTGGGTGTTAAGGATTGTAATAGGATTTGTCGCTAATGAGCTTATTCTTGTTGGGCTCGTGATTAGATCATGGTCTTGTAGCTATTATAAATAGCGAATCTATGTGTAATCAAATGATTCATGTTTAAATCTAATTATATTTTTACATGGTATCAGAGCCAAATCTTGGGAAAACCTAAAATCCTAGTTTCCACTCGGTTTGCCGCTTCCGCCGCCGTTGTCGCCTGTGGTGTGTCCGGCGACGGTGACTTCACCATTAGATCTCGTTCTTGTCATAGCCCGTGTGATCCATTCAACATTAGAACCCACATCATTATAGATTGGAACTTGCCGATTTGTTTCGTCCAGCCGTAATCAACCAACCATGGGCGGATCCACACGATATCTTATGGGGGCACTTGCCCCCAATGAAATTTTGTTTTTATTTAATCAATACATTAATATTTTCCTAAAAATTAATGTTGCCCCCAATGAAAAAAATAATTTGCCCCCAATGAAAAAAAATGTTCAAATATAAAACTGAATTATTTCAACTTTTTTGAAATGAACAAATTATTTAAACTAAAGATAAAAGAATTACAAAATGAAAATTAAACTATAATATTAACTAGAAGATAATTCGAAAATAAAAATTACAAGAGAAAGTAAAATTATGGAGAGTACTTTTGAGATTTTTCATTAATCATTTGAATGTTTTGTTAAAAAAATATTTTTTTAAAAAAATTACTTTGATTTTAAAAAATGGGGGCACTACCCTCGAATTTTTGTACTTCTATTGCCCCCAGTCGGTCAGAATCCTGGATCCGTCACGCCACTGCAACCAACAGCTAACAAAGTCTTGTTCGTCCAGTGCAGCATGCTTTGCTCGCTACTCAATTTAGAGGGAGTATCAACCATGAATCATGCATGTGTCTTCATCCTTTGGACTTTGTGCAGCCGTTTTTGTCTACGGCCAATTCCAGGATACATTAATCTCAATTTGTATGCTGCAATTCTATGGTTGGCAACAACTAATCTTCTTCTTAATTTGAGGTTTTTGGCCGAAATTGTTTGGCTGAAATTGGCGGGGCCCTCTTGAATTTATTGAATTTGTTTTGATTTGTTCGTGCTTTGAGGAAGAAGGTTTTTATGTTCACTCTACCGTTCATCGAAATTTGATGACGTTTTTGGCGGAATTATTTTTTGTTGCTATATGATATGTTCAAGTGCAACCAGATGTATGTTCAGCATGTTGGTTTGTGAGGTTGGTCGCATAGTCGCGTCTCAGTTCGACACAGGGGCGGATGCACGTCTATTATTATAGGGGCACTTGCCCCCAGTCAAATTCTGACAAGTTAGGCTTTAGATAAAATTTCAGTTGATAAATTGATTTTTTCTTGATTAAAAAAAACGCTGCCCCCATTAATTTTGGTTTAAATTGACAGCGCCCCACTCATTTTTCTAAAATGGACCCATCTTCTACTTTTACACAGTATCTTTTCTTTGATACAGAGTATTAATTTTGATTCATTTTAATAACTCCTCCACTGAAATTGTTTTCTCATTCCAGTTTACAAAATTTGATCGGAGTAGTACGTTGAAAGTTTTTTTTGAAAATTAAATTGATATATAAATTCTAAAATTACAATGACATTTTTATGCTCTTTCACATTTTAATGTTACATTTAAAAAAAAGCACGCACTGGTTTTCGTACTTAGTCGAAAGTTCTTGGATATAGTCTGCTAATGGTGCCCCCAATCATAAATTTTTCTGGATCCACCACTAGTTCAACATATTTGTTTGTGAGGTTGGTCGCATAGTCGCGCCTCAGTCTGGCAACAGGGCCTCCAAGTTTGGGATGCTTGTTAGTCGTCCCCGTGTCAACGCGTGGGAGTCATTCGTCATCAAAATTTATTGTTCGTTTGCAGGGCCAGTCACCTTCGTTCGTTGTTGTCACAGTAGATCAAGTTCAAGTTGTTTATCAAGTTCTTTTAGTCCTAGTTTTTTTAATCGTCCAAGTTGTGCATTCGTTAAGCTCATGCTCAATTTGAAGGGGAGTGTTAAGGAATGTAGTATGGCCGTGGAAATCGGGTTGAATTGAGACCCGTCAACGCCGTCGATCTCCGGATTGACCTTCTGCTTCATCCATCCCAACATGTGGTCGAAGGAGCGGTTCTCCATTACAAGCACAACCACAATCTTGATCGGACTAGAGGCGGACGGCGACTGCACCGCCACAATCAGTAAGAGTTGAGACAGGAGAATGACGGAGGAGAGCGGTGGTTTGTCTTTCCTGCATTTGAGCGCCATTGTTATTGGTTAGTGAATGATCAGTCATCAGTGTAGTGTGCGAATTTAAGCAGTACGCTCCTCTCCATCCTCTATTCCTCTTTAATTCAAGTTTTTTTCTTCATTTAATCTTCTCATTTAATTATTTTGGATTAAGATTTATAAATTTTGTGTTGGATATACGAAAATAATATATTGTGTTCCGATATAAAAGTAATATCAATGATTTTATTTTAAAACGTAATTTTGAACTATTAAAATTTAATACTCCCTCCGTCCCTAAATAAATTACATTTTTTTCTCTCTCTCCTCTCGATAACTTTTGTTTGTTTACGCAATTTCATTAAGTATTTGATAAAATAAAATATTTTTGTAACCTCTTGTTTTGTAGAACTTTTGACGTAGTTTTTTAATATATAATTTTTATATATTATTGATATACCAATTTGTAAATAAAATAATTTCAAAAGGTAGAAAATTTCACTGCGTAACCGGCAATTTGTAATCAAATTGGAGACGAAGAGAGTAAAATATATCTATGCATAAATGTTGATATTAATGATGAAAGTGTTATATTAAGTCCGTGAAAAGTCAAATAATAATAAAATCAAGACGAATGGAATATTTTTGCTTTTGCTTTTTCATTCATTTTTTTCTAAATTTACTTTCCCTTGGTTTTTGCGAACAAGGCATATTTGGAACATTATTCATCTCTTTATTTGCTCAGATACACATTCTAAACCTACAAGCCACATGCTATCGCTATTTTTTAAGGTTTTGTTTGGTAACCACGTTTTTCATTAGTGTTATCGTTTTGATTAAAAATTTAACGGTGTAGAACTATTACTCGGTGACCGCATCTTTTTTCCTTCTCCGCTTCTCTAAGAATCCGTCATAAGCATGCATGGTTGAAAACTGGGTGAGTTCGGAAAAATTCATCGTAACACATATTTGTTCTTGATCAACAAAGTTTGAGTTTTATACGATTAATTTCTGAGTAAACACCCAAATAATTAATCTGAAAGTGTCACACTCTTCAAAAACAAAGGGAAGGGTAAGAAGACAGACGGGCCGAAGAATTATACTTCGACGGAAAGTTTGCCTTAGCAAAGTTCTACGTCGATGTGTCGGAGGACGCCATCGTGGCAAACATCCAGAAGACCACAATGTTCTGAAACCGTGTTGCGGCAAAGTACAACACTGGAACATGATGGGGAGATGCTTCCAAAAAATTGGGGGCAGGTCCACCCCAAAGTCCAAAAGTTTGGTGGCATGTATGCCAACGTCCAAAAGATGTGGCCAGTGGGTCCAACACTGAGGACATTCTCTCGAAGCCGATGGGCGTTTAATTCCAAGCAGAACAAAAAGTTTTCATGTTCTTTGTTAAATATGTAAAGTTTATATTACATATTTACTATTATTGTTATACTTGGTGGTTTCCTTGATTGTATAGGATTTGTATTTAATATTGTTTCCTTTCCAATATACCTCCTACATGTATATAAGGGGAGGTGATTTACTTGTAATCATCATCAAATAATACAATTCTTCATGGTATCAGAGCCAACCCTAGGCTAACCCCGATACGCTTTCTCGGCGCCGCCGACTCTGTCTCACCTAGTGTCGTCCTCCCTCTCTCTCTCGCCGGCCAGCCTCCTCGGCAAGCAGCAGCCCCCCCCCCCCACCTCTCCTCATGGCAGCCGAAAACTCAACCTCTCCCTCTACTCCTCATCTCGCCTTCACCACCGTTTCAAACGTCAAACTCTAGGTTCCCATAACCCTCAGTTTCTCAGAACCAAATTACAAAAAAAAGGAGTCGTCTCTTTCTTCTATTGGTTCGGCGCTTCAATCTCGAAGGTTTTCTCACTGGTGCCACAACCTCCACCGGCAAAGATGATGTTGATTGGTTGCAACTTAATGCTCTTATTCAAGGATGGATTCTCTCTACCGTTAATGACGAAGTTTCGGATATCATCATCTCCTCCACCACCTCTGCCGCGGATCTTTGGAAAGCTATTCATAATTTGTTTCACGACAATAAAGCCGCTCGAGCCATGCAATTGGAGCAACACTTCTACAACACCGTCAAGGGCGCATCTACTATCGCCACTTATTGACTAACTTTGCGAAACATTGCCGATTGGTTAGATGACGTGGATGCCCCGGTGACGGAAAATCAACTCGTTTTACAAACCCTACGTGGCCTTCCCGAGGATCTCGGCTCCCAGGCGTCCTTTCTGCAATTCCAAAAACCCCCCACCAACTTTCATGGAGACCCGATCTGCACTTCTCCTCCTCGAAGGACAACGTCGACCACAAACTGCTCTCGGCGATGAGGGGACTGCCCTGGCCACCCTCGGCCACGGTGGACACGCCGGTTTCCGGTAGCAAGGCCGCGGTGGTGCGCCTGCAAGCGGCGGACAGCAAGGCGGTAGTGGCGGTGGACAACACTATGGCGGACAGCTTCACGGCGGACAATCTCAGGGCAACGGCGGACGCGGGTATGGCTATGGTGGACGCGGTGGACGACCGAACTGCGGTCGCGGTCGAGTCCGTAACTCTGGATTCAACTCCTGGACTAATCCAACGAATTTTGGACCCTGGCAAACCCCTTACCAAAACCCCGGCCCAGGCCTACTGGGCCCACGCCCTACCCCCCACCCCTTCCCTGCCCAGGCCCACTTCACCTCCCCCACTTACCCATATCAGCCCGCCCCTCTACCCAACCCCTACCCAAACCCTCCCCTATACCCGAATCCCCAAAA